CATTGCCATTGATGGCTTCTCCTTCAATCTCATGATCCGCGACATGGACATGTTCTATCAGGGCAAGCCCGTGCCCCAGATTGCCTCGCAGTTCACCGACCTGGCCATCCAGCAGCGCAAGGACATTGAGAGTGGTCGCCTGCAGGACGACATTGTCTTCTGGAAGAAGATCTACACTACGCTACCCGATCCTCTGCCTCTCTTCCCCTTCCCTGGCGTCGGTGCTCGTCTCCCACAGACCAAGTACGAGCACGAGGAGGTTGAGACGGTGCTCGACTCGGCGATTGCGCAGAAGATTCGCACCCTCTGCCGCCAAAACCGCTGCACCACATTCCACTTCTTCCTCGCCACCTTCCGACTCTTCCTCACCCGCTGGCTCGAGATTGACGACCTGTGCATTGGTATCGCTGACGCCAACCGCAAGGATATTAAGACCCTGGCTACCGTAGGTTTCCTGCTGAACCTGATCCCTCTCCGCTTCGGCGGCCTCACAGGCAAGGAGACCTTCTCCGCCCTCCTCAACACCGCCAAGCAGACCTCATACTCTGCTCTCAACCACTCCGCCCTCCCCTTTGACCTGCTGCTGCAGGAGCTTGAGGTGCCTCGCTCCTCCTCTCACAGCCCTATGTTCCAGGCTTTCCTCGACTACCGTCAGCTCTCTCTGAAGACTCCTCCCATGCTCGAGTCCCAGACCGAGGGTGAGAGCAAATTCGGTGCCACCGCCTACGACGTCGTTCTGGACGTCACTGACGACGCCGCCTCCGACATCACCATCAAGTGGCAGACGCAGAAGTCGCTGTACAATGGCCGCCACACTCAGGCCATGATGGACAGCTACATGCATCTGCTGCACCACTGTGCCAATGGTCCCGCCGGCCCCATCGCCTCCGCTCCCCTTTACCGGGACGAGCATGTCACGGCTGCCATTGAGGCTGGACGTGGTAAGTATCAGATGAAACAACCCCTATTCCTACTACTACTGCTACCGAGCCCCAATTAACTGTTTTGTCTATCTCTCTGTGTAGGCCCCCAGTTTGACAGCAAGTGGCCCGAGACCCTGTCCCTCAAGGTCGACCAAGTCTCTGCCAAGTTCCCCAACGATATTGCCCTGCGCGACGGCCTCGGCGACTCCATGACCTACAAAGCCATGGACCGCATCATCGACCAGATCTCCGAGGAGCTCGTCCAGACTAATATTCAGCCCGGTGACAAGGTCGGTGTGTTCCAACAGCCCTCGGCCATGTGGATCTGCTCCTTGCTCGCCATCTGGCGCAGCGGTGCCGTCTACGTGCCTCTTGACCCCCGCAATGGCCTGCCCCGTCTGGCGGCCACTTGCAGTGTTGTCGAGCCCAGCTCCGTGCTCTGCGACAGCTCCACTGTCTTTGATGTCGCCCGGCTCGCTCTCCCTGCTGGCGCCAGCACCATCAACGTTGACCAAGTCCGCAAGGCCAACGACTCTCCCGCTCGCCGTCCAAACTTGTCCAAGGGCGATTCGTCTGCCATCATCGTCTCTAGCAGTGGTTCTACCGGAATCCCCAAGGGTATCGAGGTTCGGCACCAGAGCTTGCTCAACCTCTTCGAGGGTGACAGCCAGATCTGGAATCTCGGCCGCCCCAACTGCGTTCAGCAGAGTGCCTACAGTTTCGACATCTCTCTTGACCAGATCTTTACCTCTCTCGTGAACGGTGGCAGCCTCTACGTCGCTTCCCAGGCCCAGCGCTCCGACCCCCAAGCCATGGCTGAGCTCATCGCCAACAACCAGATCACCTACACCATGGCTACCCCGTCCGAGTATTCCAACTGGATCAACTATGCCGCTCCCACCCTGTCGAAGGCCACGAGCTGGTGCCGCGCCAACGTTGGTGGTGAGGGCTGGAACGCTACCCTGCGTGATTCCTTTGCCACGCTCAACTTGCCCAACCTCAAGATCCAAAACTGCTACGGTCCCGCCGAGAACAGCGTCTGGTGCACTCGTCAGCCCATTGACTATCCTTCCGAGTCTCCTCTCATCCCGGCCGGTCCTGCTCTTCCCAACTACTCTTTCTACATCGTGGACAAGCAGCTTGATGTTGTCCCCACCGGCGTCCAGGGCGAGATCCTCATTGGCGGTGCCGGTACCGCCGTTGGCTACTACAAGCGCACCGACCTGACCAACGAGAAGTTCATCGAGGACAAGAATGCCTCCTCTGTTCACATTGCCAAGGGCTGGAACCGCGCTTACCGCACCGGTGACAAGGGTTATCTCATGGACGACGGCACCCTCGTTGTCCTTGGCCGCATCACTGGTGACACCCAGATCAAGCTTCGCGGTTTCCGTATCGAACTCGAGGACATCGAAGCCACCATTGTTCGCGCCTCCAATGGCGTCCTGTCTCGTGTCGTTGCCAACGTGCGCGGCGAGGGTCACGAGAGCTATCTGGTCGGCTTCGTCGAATTTGCTGACGGTTACCCGGCCGACCAGCAGAAGACTTACCTCACTCAGCTACTCAACAAGGTGCCCCTGCCCCAGTACATGAAGCCCAACATGCTCATCCCGCTTGACCGCATTCCCCTGAACTCCCACGGAAAGGTCAACAGACTGGCCATTGCCACAATTTCTGTCCACCCCCAGGTCGATGCTGCCGAGATCTCTACTGAGGTCACCGACACTGAGAAGGCCATCTGGGAGCTGTGGCAGGAGATCCTGCCCCAGTCCGTTATGGATGGTGCAGCCATCAACTTGAACCACGACTTCTTCCAGCTTGGAGGTAATTCCTTGCTTACTGTCCGTCTCCAGTCTCGCATCCGCGAGGCTTTTGGTATCGTCGTTCCTCTCCACAAGGTCATCGAGTCCAGCAAGCTATCGGCTCTGGGCGCCCTCCTCGATGAGTTCTTGGCCAATTCTCGCATCAACTGGGACCTCGAGACTGCCCTCACCGATGAGATGCTCCACATCTCTCCTGCTGACACCTCCTCCACCACCCGCAAGAATGCTCAAGCCTTGACTGTCATCCTCACCGGTGCCTCTGGTTTCATTGGTCGTCACATCTTGGAACGACTTATCCAGGACCCCAAGATCGGCCGCGTCCACTGCATTGCTCACCGTCCCCTGTCTGACGAGCTGCCCCACCGCCAGAAGTTCAATGCCGTTGTCGCCTCCTCTTCCAAGATCTCCGTACACGAGGGTGATCTGAGTGCTCCTCGCCTCGGTCTGTCCGAGACTGATTTCGCCGCTCTCGCCCAGCAGGCCGACATGATCATCCACAGCGGTGCAAACCGTTCCTTCTTCAGCACCTACGACCAAGTCCAGGCCATCAACGTCCAGTCCACCAAGGAGCTCGCTCTCATGTCTGCCGCCTCCCTGCGTGACCACCGTCGCATTGTACCCTTCCACTTCCTCTCTGGTAGCGAGGCTGCCACCATCGAGCCTGCTTCGGACGGCTCCCAGGGCTACGTCGCCTCCAAGTGGGCCAGCGAGCGCTTCCTCGAGAAGTACGCTAACCAGCTGCGCCTGCCCGTCCACATCCACCGCCAATTGCCCGTTCCCGAGGGCCGTGAGGCCCAGGGCGAGGAGCTCGACCAGATCCTCCAGGAGTTCGTCGACGTCGCCGCTAACATGACCGAGCTGCCCGACTCGACCACCTGGGGCGGTCACTACGACCTGATCCCCGCTGACCGTCTGTCTCGCGACATTGTCGGCCACGCCTTCACGGCCCTGGCCTCGACCGACAACCAGATCTCAAGCGACAACGTCAAGCAGTACTCACACCTGAGCTCCGTCCGCATGGACATTGGCAAGGTTGTCGAGAGGCTGGACTCGCTGCCCGAGTACGCCCAGAGCGGCCGGCCCAAGATCCCGGCCCACGTCTGGGTCGGCAAGGCTAAGATTGCCGGCTTCCGCTACCAATTCAGCACCATGAACATGGTCCTGCAAGATGCCGAGGGCAAGGGCCTCGCTACGCTGTCGCGGTAGAGTGTTGACCATTCTATCTGACTTGTTTGTTCTTGTATATACTTTTACTCATCACTCTCTGTGTTTTCCTCTTTTTGTATAGCTTGACTCATCACTCTCCCTATTTCCTCGCTTTGTGTCCTCATTCATCACTCTCTCTGTTTCTCTCTGTCTAAAATTGTCGTGTTTATATTAGCTTTTACTTTCTCGTTAATAAAGACTTGGTACAATATTTTCTCTCCCTTCTGTAGTGCTGCCTCAGTTTCTTAGAGTGTAATATCTTGTATGGTTTTCCTTTTCTCTCAGGTTCTATGATGCTTTGAAGTACAATTTGTATAATAATTTTCAAGAAGCTAGCGATATCGAATCATATGATTCATATTTTCACATTTGTCCAATTCTTTTGGTTACGTAACGATAAAGTCTTGAACATCTCTTCCAAGAAAGTATCTCCGAGTTTCACTACAACAACGTCTTAGCCACACTGAGCATAGTTCATGATCTCAATTCTGCGTTTTTAGTAAGAATAACACTTTATTGCTCAAGTAATTCATAAGCTATAAAAATTCAAGATGTACGGTAGATCCTTTAATGATTCCAGATAATGATAATTATCATGATTGAATGAGAAAAGGTTTAAATAAGAGTGAATGCAAATCTATCTCGTCTTTCTCTAGGCAAAGCCAAGTTACGATTTATTGGCTACTACAGTTCGCGATGTTTGCATTGCACAGGATTCGTATGACGTTTCTGGTGATCGAAAATGTGTCAACTCGTGCCATGATTTATTCATTTATCTTGCAGGGCATGTACAAACGCTTGACTGGTGTCATAGTCTGAGCTGTCCTTTGTGTAGCAACTTGTGATCACTGAAACATATAGGCTACTTTTGACAGACAAATATTACGCAGAAACAATGCAACTCAAATTGAATTTGGCAAGGGACTTCATTTAGGCAAAAGATTTCTTCCTAGCGTCAAAGTAACAACGGTATCGTCAAGTACAAAATGAGAAAACGAACAAAAACCAGATCTATATACATCGCCTCAAGGCTGGTATACTATACCCCCTTTGATGTAGCCCCAACCCCACCAGTCGAATGATCATCAATACATATACACACCGGGTTGTCTAAGTCTAACCCTGGTAGTCATAGACAAGCTTAGCCTCGAGCCTCTCACCATCATCCTTGGTGACGAGGACCCGCCGAGCGTGGTAGCGAGTGCCGCCAATGACAATGAAGCCAGCGACCTGCTGGGTGATGACGCCCTTGGAGTCGAGGTGCTCAGTCTTGAAGTGCATGACCTCCTCGGTTCCGTCCTCCCAACCCTGGCGGAGGTAGTCGTCGTCGAGGTCGGCGAGCTTGCAGATGCGGGAGCGACCGCGGATGTTGCCGAAGAGGCCGTGGTTGAGCTCCACGGGTTCCCAGTTGAGGACACGCTTCTCCTGGGTAGCGGGGAGGCCGCCACTGGGCTTGTTCTCGATGTCGAGGTGGATGTTGCCGGTCTCGTCCGTGCTCTGGCTGATGATCAGAGTCACGTTGGCCATGGCAATGACTTTGCGGGTCAGCCAGTTCACGCCCTGGACTTTGAGGATATCGGCTGAGGACTCGGAGAGGGTGTTGTTCTATAGGTATGTTAGTATACAGAAGGGACTTGTGTGATTCAGACGTTGGGGGGTTGGTTGGTGTCTCTTACAGCAGTCCAGGAGCCGTTAAGGTCGTGGATGGTCTTGGAAGCGGGAGCGGCCATTGTGTTGATGTGTGAGTGGTTTTGAGGGTATAGGATTAGGGAAGTGTAGTGAAGGTAGAATTGAGATTTTGTAGGATGGTGAGTGTGAGTTGATTTGTTGATTGATTGATTGAGTGATGAGTTTCTGAAGCTTCCAACACGTCGCCCATATATACTTCAATGAATATAGATGACACGCCTTGTTCGGTCGGTGCCTGATACGACACAGCCCACTTAGAGTGTCATATTCAGCCGCAGATGGAATAGCATACCAAACATCACCGGCGTAGTGAATTACCAGTTTGCCGCGTCGGGCATAGAAAGCCGGCCATTTGGGGCCACATGTTCGTCGCGGTCGACAGGGATCAAAAGTGGACGGGTAGGGCGGCACGGCTGCGAGTATGCGGGAATGTGAAATGCTTGTGTTGGTGACAAGAGTCAAAGCCGCAGCGCCAAGAGTTGCCTCAATAAGGGGCAATGCCCGGGGCTGTCACACTGGCGCTAGTAAAACGACAAAGAAAGACACAACAAGCTCCGGAGCCACATTTTCTAACGGAAAGCCACTTGCACCTTGCTAACCTAAACGGGACACAGCGGGAGATCATCCCCCAACCCTATCCCAATCGGGTATGCAGGATGTTAGGCACTGTCAGATGCACTGCCAATGGTCGATCCGGCGTCTTGTCCATGTAGGAACCAGATCCGAAGAGATCATTGCTTTTTCTCGGCTTTCTTACGTCTTTTTATTCTCCATCTCTTGGCCATCATCGACAATTCTCTCTCTTTATCTCAATTTCTTCTTTGCACTCCTACAATCCCCCCCGGTCGCAACTCCCTCGCGAGACTAAACCTATTTCTTCCCCTACCTCGTATCGCTATCAACAACTGTATCCACTAGGATTTGGGGGCCACTGCAAGCCAAGCACAGATTCACAGACGTGACACAAGGATCAACCGAGTACTGACTGGTGTCTCCCATTTTTCCAGCAAGGGGGATCATTTCCAACATTATGTACGCGCAGTCCGAGAAGTTGCCCATACATGGGCAGGATCGCATGCATCCACAAACACGATACGACCCACCTAACCACCCGCCTCCTCAATACGATCAAGCCCAGTACGTACAGCCTCAGTATGGACCTCCCCCAACTGGACAACCTCATTACGGACAATCACAATACGGTCAACCTCAATATGGCCAACCCCAATATGGTCAACCACATTACGGTCAGCAACAATATACCCAGCCCCAATATGGCCAAACGCAATATGGCCAACCTCAGTATGGCCAGCCACAGTATGGACAAACACCGTACGGACAGCTTCAGCCCGGTCCCAACCCCGTGTTTGGAGGGCAGCCCACCCCAGACCCCCGATACGACTCACAAGCCGGGATGGCCACCATGGGAGGGCCATTGCCTCTTCCCGTCGTGATCCCACAGCAGCGCCCCGGGTCTCAGGAGCGAGGCTTCATGGCCGCCTATGCGCCATCTCTAGAGTCGTGCGGCATCGACCAAAGGTCGTTCCTGCGCTTCATCGACGAGACCAACACGGCCTTGGAGGGCAACAAGTACCTCGCCGGTGTGCAAGTCGTCTCACTTGGCGTGGGCTTCACCCCCGAGGTCATCGTCATGGGCGTGGCCGCGGCAGTGCAAGCAGGTGCCTGGGTAGCCAACAAGGGCTACGTCAGAGGAAAGTAAGTGCACAACACGACTCCTCTCCCCTCAAGCCATGAATGCTAATCAGCCCCCAACTTAGGACCAACAACGTCATGGACAAGTACAACCGCGAGCTTTTCGCTCCTAACGGTCTGTTCTGCATGATTATGAAACATGATCCGGAACTCAAGGAGCCCAAGAATTCCAGCCGTCTGAAGCAACTCGCCTCAATGGCTGTCAACGGCTCGAGCAATGGTGGCGGCAGCGCATGGATGCGTAACCACATTTCCGGTTCGACGCAGGGACCTAGCGGTCTTCCTACAGCCGTCGCACCGCTTGTCTACATGGACAACCGCCGCCAACACAAGAACTACCTGTCTGATTCTCCTCCGTCGGATTCACCGGCCCCCGAGAGGGACGTCGTTCCCCCCGCCGGTGGCAAGGTTTCAACCAAGGAAAAGGCCAAGAAGGCCTTTGACAACTTCAACGACTACCTCGACCGTCGCGCTCGCGCAAAGTACATGGCCGAGAACGGCAGCGACGCGCTGAGCGGGCCGGCGGGTCGTGGCTTCAGCAATCGGTACCTGGACCCCAATCATCCGGCCGTCAACGGAGGTCTGATTGGCGTGCTTTCCGGCGGCGTGTTGAGCCCTACCCCAGAGCAGCGTGCGCAGAAGAAGGCCGCCAGGATTGATGAAGAGGAGAGGAGAGTCCTTGACGAATACAACGACCGGAAGGAGCGCATCTTGAACGATCGACGTAGTCAATCCGAGACAGATCGCGAGTTAAGGCGGTTGGACAAGGACTATGAGCCTCGTCTGGAGGTGTTCCGCAAGAAGAGAAGGGAGCTGGAAGGTGGCAAACGATCCATCAAGAGCGTAAGTTTATCCTTCTCTCTGACTTGGCGATATTGTTCCTTTGACTGACAATGGCTTTTTGCAGAACATCTTATACCTGATGATTGTCAACCTTCCTTCGGACGCTACTCTTGCTGCCGCTTCGTCGAAGCTGGACCAGGAATATGGTCATAGTGTCACGACGGAGACGATGCCACCACCAGCGTACTAATTCTTTGTTTATTATGCATTCGCGTCTTTTTCGGGCATTTTACTTAATGTAGCGGGTTTTATGCGAAAGACTTTTATGATTTTTATGCATCGATAGCAATGTTGAATGATTTTGTGCGATAGACTAAATACCCAAATCAGACAAACGTGGAGCCTTAGTGCAGGATTACGCTCTTTACTGGAGTAGTCCATCTTCTCTTAAACGTATGATACAATGTTCATTGGCCGTGCTGGATCTGTACAATGAGGTTCTGTTATCACCCGAAGTTTTCATTTTTTCCCCCAGTATATACAAGCGAAGAAAGCATAGAATACAGTATTAACATAGACAACAGTGCTTAGGCTCAGACAACCTATCCGTTCCAAAGTACCCGCCATACACTGTACTAACTATTACAAAAATGACATCAGAACCAAGGAGAGATATAAAACAACAATAGAAAGTATGACAATTTTTACAAGCTGAAAATGAAATGTCGTATATTTGTCGAAGGAAAGTCGAAGGAGTGTTAAAGGAGAGTCCTGCTCCTTTTCACCGGCTAGCCTCGTGGAGGCGCACCGTGACCGTGTCACCAGGAGCGCTGACCAGGGTCAAGCCCCACCTGATTCTCTGGTCGGCGTTGACATCCTCAATTCCGTCGAAGCGCTGGAGCATCCGGACAAGGACGTAGCCAGCCTCGGTGAGGGCGAACTGCTGGCCAATGCAGATGCGCGGCCCACCGTTGAAGGGGAGGTACTCCCAGCCGGAGCGGCGGGCCTCCCAGCGCTCGGGCTTGAACTCGCCCGAGTCCTTGCCCCAGACATCCTCGCGGCGGTGCAACATGTGCACGTTGTACAGGACGGCCTGGCCCTTCTTGATGTACACGGGGCTCTGGCCGTCGGGGCCGCCGCCGCGGGGCAGGCTGGTGTCCTTGGTGGCGTAGCGGGCGTTGGTGGGCAAGGGCGGGAACAGGCGGAGCGTCTCGCTCATAACCTGTTGCAGGTACGTACAGGCCTTGAGGGTGGCAAAGGTGATGTTTTGGGGGTTCTCGTAGGTGCCGAAGTCGGCGATGATGGCCTCGCGCAGCTTACGGAAGACCTCTGGGTGGCGGGAGAGCAGCAGGGTGGTCCAGCTCAGCAGCGCGGCGGTGGTATCGCGGCCGGCGAGCAGGACGTTGAGCAGCTGGGAGCGCAGCTCGATCGGGTCCTTGGTGGTTGCGGCCATGGCGTGGACAAAGATGTAATGCTCGGACGCGCCTTCCTCGGGCTGCTGCTTCTTCTTGTGGTCGTGCAGGGCCTTGGCGACGCATTCGTCAACGAAACGGTGAACCTCCTGGCAGCAGGTTCGAAACTCTTTGCCGTCGTACAGGAACTTCATGCGAGGTAGACGTAGGCGCTGCGCCATGTACCACTGGGCGCGGTCAAAGTACTTGCCAAAGTCAGTCACCTTGCCGCCACTGGCCATGTGGTCCTCGGCGTCACCCATGGCGGCCAGCTGGGAGTAGCAGCTCTCGCCGAAGAGGAGCTCGGTTGCGGAGTCGAGGGTGAGGCGGAAGTAGATGCTCTGAATGTCGACCTCGGTCCAGCCGTTGCTTCCAGCGGCGGGTATGGCGCGCATGGCGTTTTGGACGTGGCGCTCTTCCAGACGCAGGTCGCTGATCTGGTCCCGGGTGAACTGGGGTCGGAGCATTGTACGTGAGTGCGACCACTCGGCCCCGTCGTTGATGAACTGCATGCACACTGATTGTCAGTTTGGCTCCAGATCTACATGCAACGGAACAGCACGAGGAATAATGAGAACATACGATTCCTTTGCCCAACAACGGGCCCATGCATCCCAGTCTCTCACCACCAACGGAAAAGTCTTTGAACTGCTTGGCCAACATGGCCTGGAGGTTCTCGGGGTCAAAGGTGAGCATGTTCTCGCCCAGACCTCTCTTGAGACGGAAGGTCGAAACGTAGCGTCCGGCAATGTCGCGCATGATATTAGTGCGGCTCTCGAGGAGCTCAGGCACCACCTTGTTCTTGTCCGCCTGGATAATCTCCAGAATATCGCCGATAGCGAGGGGGTCCTTGGATGGTGCCATGGGCGCTGGCCGGCAGCCCAGGCGCTTGGCATTTTGATAGTGCCTCCATTTCTCGCTGACGATGCGCGCGATGAAAGTAAGGCCCGCGAGGACCAGAAAGAGTGTCTTAAGTCCCATGGTGGTCTAATTATTTGAGAATTGAAGGCTAGGGGTTATGGTTCCAACGAATGTATGCCTGTATGGCAGGCAATGTCAACGACATGTCCATTCCGACAGCAGCGCCCGTACATAGATATATCTTCATTTTTCCTTTTCGTATTCCATGGTCACTTAATCTGGCCATTCTTAGTGAATCCCGCAGGAGTCAATATTCCACTCGGTAGATACTCTATTGTCAGCATTGCTATACTTGATGGATCTATGGAGTTGTGGTAGATCCTTCCGGAGGCGTGGCAGATCGGAGTGAGTGGGTAGATTCCGGCAAATGCTACCCAATTGGGAAAGCTTTGCTAGCTGACGCTGGGATCCCGCACGTATTTGGCCCCTTTGCACAGCCCGACACAAACAGGGCTGCCCTGCCTGTTCTTCAAGTTTTGTTCCTGATGAGTCTCATTGTAGTAAGTTGGAACCATTCATCATGTTGACATCAATCATGCCACCGACACGCTTGACCGCGTCGTACGATGCTACTTATACGACTTTCTAAACACGTGCATTTCCCGCCTTCAGCTTGTGACCCTAAATGGATCATTCATTCAAGATCTTCCCAATCGCCGCTTTGGGTTAGGTTTTCCAGTTCTTCACCGCCCATGGGCTCCGGCGGATATTCCGAGATGCATAAACCGTGGATGATCTGGATTAGTCATTTGGCATAACATTGGTAGTTAGTTAACTACTATGTTACATAACTAGTCATTATTTCTGTCACGTTTTTGGGGGTGCTTCATATGCTGTTCGACATGGAAATATATAGCCTTTAACATCAAATGTTATCACCTCCTGTCTCCTACTAGCCTACCCGTATCTACTAAGCAACAACGAGCAATTGACCCCCCATTAACAACATGACTGGTCAAGCTGGAAAATGTCTTGTCCTTTCAGAAGGTGACAAGCCGAGCGATACAATCGTGCCACGGCCATCAAACCCTCACTACTAACTCCCTCTGGAACACTCCCACTATCCCAACGCTGCTCTTATCATCTGATTGCCCAGCATAAGGATTCTTAGACTGTTCCACCTCACTCTGTGCACTATTGACAACCGAATTAACCAGAAAAAATCGAGTCTCCCTGAGTCCACAGGGGCGCACAGAATCTCGCCACTGCGACATTGTTCAAAGACCCAAAGCAGTTGTTCAATACGCGGTGACTTCAGTTTCCTTGAATCGTCGAGCTGCGCCACTGGCTCTCAGGAGCACATGTATTATTTTACTTGTATCTCTAGAGTCTAGACCGCTCTGTCTGCTGCTTACTATAATTGGAGCATTATTGTCGATTTCGATACTTGGAATAGTGCTACAACGCTACACTGAGCTCTGTAGAAAGGACTTGTCAGCCTCTAAGGATATCTGCAGATGGGAGGAAAATATTGGTTTAAGCACTCGCGCTTCCCTTGGATATGAATTTTCTAGTTCCTAACTCGACAGCAAGAACTCATACGGCGAAGGTTCATCTCTGTAGCCGGTGCCTCTATACTTTGCCCGTACATGTACATATGCCTTGCCATCCAACATTCAACGTTCAACTAGTGATAATAAAACCCGACAGGCCACGTTGCTCGGGGTGGAGATGTGGAGCAACCGACAAGGATTTACTAATTCTTCCAGAACATCTTCCAGAATGCTGGTGTTATATTGACCATCGGCCAAGAATCTGACGGCGGACGCGATCCATTGTAAGCGAAGCATATACATCGCTGAAAATGTCCGTGATCAAAAAGGTTAGCAAGCCAGGTAGCATAAGCGGTCCGATCACTATAAGCGATTCCACGTGCCGAGACTGGCTCCTGTGCAGAGATCGGTTTTCTGCGCAATATGGATCCCTAGGCGTTTCTGAATGCCCGTAGAAGTCCCAATCGTACGATGCCTCGGATCCCTTTACCATCTAGGCTAAATACAATCGGGCGCTTGGCGCTTAGTCGGAGATAGATGGCGGATTGTAAGAGTGACAGACTGGCTACAAATGGAACTGAGGGTGGTCGGTACGATATTGCTTTATTCAATTTCCTCAATGATGGTCATAAACCCAGTCCACCTAAATGTTTTAAGAGGCGAATATAAGGAAACGTTGCAATTATCTGTGCTCAGAGATAACCGTTAAAAAAAGGCTAATCTATAAAATGCAGTAACTCGCGGAACTCTGTACAATATGAACGGAATTTAGTTTCAAGTCCCCGGCCTCACGCAAGAAGTTGATAATAGACAGATAAGACCGACATAAAAGAAGTCTTTCATGAAAGCCCTATGAATACAACAAGCCACGTGGATCTGACATAGTCATCAATATCCGTATTCAAGTCTGGGCAAGATGTCACTGGCTACTGTTCGGCATGTCTGCTGTTAGTATGAAGCTAATACTAAATAGGAGAATACAATCATGCCTGATTCAGAAAATGCAGAAGGACTTTGACTCCACTTTCAATATAAATCACGATCGCGTGGCGCATACGGTCGAACGGCCGATCTTGGCATGTAATGCACTATAAGGTGTACTTTCTTAGCGTTACTATGTCCAATAATGCACGTTTATGATCAAGCTAGAAATGTATAAAGATATTACTAATTTGAAGCTGACTTTATCAAGATAGATAGGAAAATTTATATTATGCTAAAATGCAAGTAAAATACAGGTATTGTGTTATATTATTATACTATTCTAAATAGTGAAAAATTCCGGATGGATTATTGATGTAAATTCATAACAACTATAATCTACGTTGTCGAACTAAAGTTATACATTTCGAGTCAAATGGTGTAGGTGTTGGGAAAAGTGTTGTGAGGATCCCGCTTCGGACACTGACCGCTCGGCTAGGAGCTGTTGGCTCAGAATGCCGCATCCCTGAGACTAGAAGCTTAGGAGAATGTTGAGATCGACCGGATCCTCAGAGGTGTAGTGTCAGGGTCCAGCCCTGGTGTGTTTCAGGCCGTGAATCCTCCAGATACTGGCCGTTCGGCTAGCGGGTAAATAGACAAGAATGCTAAGTCAACCGCGCAGAAAGCGTCTTCCTTAGAAGCTTCGGAATACGAGGTGGGCAGATCCTCACGTAGGGTTGACGGTAGCGAGCATGGGGGCCAGGGGCGCTGGGTAAGGGGGCCAAAAACCTCATTTTTCGGAGTTCGCGTGTACTGGCATTTCTGGATATCGCCTAGCAAGGGCGGCCTGAACCGCCGCCTTTCAGGCTTAGCCGTGGAGTCTTTTTGACAATACGGAGTCTGGAGTATGTGGAGGCTAATTAGTAGACTAGCGGGTGGGCGCCTCTTTGTATGGCGTTATCGGATGGGCCGCTCGACCGAGTGTGACCGTGACTCTCATCACCCGCTTGATTCATAGTGAGTCACGTGGCTCACTTAGTGCTTATCCTGCTGTGGATATGCCCTTCGTGATGTGATACCAAGTCGATTGGATATCAGTCATCACTGATAACAACCCCTGCCGAAGCGTGTTGCTCACACTTAAGGGATGACACGCCGGGAACAATCATTGCCCGATTACAGGAGACCCTCTCTCGAATGACTTTGGATAGCTTCTCTTCCCGAAAATTCCCCAATATGCACTCGGGGCCATCGCTGTCTTCTTCAGTCATCTTTCTTCAAGACGGCCTTAATTGTGGGGATGTAACCTCGTATTCAGCCTGGAAGCTTCTAAAGGAGGCGCAATTTGAGCTGTTGGCTTGAATCCTTGCCTTTCACCCGTTAGCCAACCGGTCAGTATCCGGAGGATCCACTGCGTGAAACACACAAGGCTGAATCCTTGACGAAATTCTGAGCCTACCTGGCCCGCGGGTGATTCCTGGATCGAATGTGTGGCTGAGAACATCGAGATTCAATCTAGTTTCTGTGGTGAAACATGCAATCAGCCCGCGAATCCAAGTTGGGGGCTAGTTTATAAGCACCAGGCTAGTAGCTGGGCATATCCACCTACTACGAAAATCCGGCCTCGTATTCATCAGTTAGCTTATAAGGATTGTGCATTCTGAGTCTAGTCGTGGACTGGATCGCCTAACGGTACGGATTCCGGGGGATTCACTCCTGAAGCGCCCCAGGAGCGGATCCTCGCACACGTGGTCAATGAAGGAGACAAGAGTCATGTCGATATAGTCAACCACTGATATAATGGATACAGTATTGTCGAATTTCCTATATTTAGATAAATATGGAAAGGACGGCTTAAACTGAGCAGTTGGCCAAGTCACAAATGTTAGTGTATTTTACTATGACTTATACTATACCGTGGCTGTACTTACGCTCTTCAATAGTTCAACTAGTTGCTTTGTTATATGATTAGCTCTGTAAACCCACCTTCTCTTAATTAAAAGTAATCTCATTTAGAACGGGACTAAAACCCTAACAACATTCCAGTATTAAAGTGTGAAGGGATGTACTATATAAAATCCATTCAGACGGGTGATTTAATACCTTTTAAGTCGAGGCATCCCTATATCCATGGTTACTAATTACTATATCAACGGTTTACAGTATTATGACATGGATGGGATGGCAGATCAGCGATCGCTGCAGCCCCATCCGGCTTAGCCGCCGGGCGCTAAGCAATTGGGAAGGGGGGGTGTTTGCGTGTATTTAGGCACAACATTCTTCGCCCACTTCAAATATGTGTGATTGTCTTCTCCTTGTTGCTTTTCTCTTTCCAAGCTTTTTTTAGCGTAGCGTTGCCCGACCGTGACCTCCACCTCTTCCAGCCTTGGCTGACTTGGCTTGTGTCTCCACGCGGAACGGGACACTGTCCCCTCCCCCTTCTCTCTCTCTTTCTCTCTCTCTTATCCATCGTTACTGAGTCAGTGCGTTGGATCTGATGCCTGACACAATTTCCCCCGCCTATTCATCGACAATCTTCATCATCACCATCACCATCACCACTCCCGCCACTACCACTACTTGGTAGACTCGCCCATCATGGTCTACTGCGGTCGCCCTTCAACAAGTTGCAACAATTGTCGTGCCAAGAAGAGAAGAGTAAGCCATTCCTGTTCTGTGTCCCGTTTCAAACACATTTTGGCTCACAGTTACCCTCCCCCCGAAAAGTGCGACAAAGCAGTCCCAGAATGTGGCCAATGTTGGCGCACAGGTCAGAAATGCCCTGGATACAGAGATCCCTCCAGTCTCAT